CCAGACACTCTGATAACAAATATCTGTCCTTGTCTCAGATGTGTCTCCTTAGTCACATTTGTTTAAATAGGAGAACACATTCTCTACTGTGCAAAATACAATGTAACACTTGAGCTACAAATGATTCTGCTGTGGTCATCAGGAACAGTTCCTAAGGAGTCTCAGGGAACCTGGTGAAAGTCTAGTAGGAATTTGGAATGCACAATGAGAAGCTGTCAGTCTGAGCCGAGACACAAACCTCACTTCTCAGTGATCAGGAACAACAGGCCATGTCCGGTGCAATCAGGGGATGCTGAGTCCCTCCAAAGGGAGCTGAGCACCACAGCAGAGCACTCAGCATGATCAGGATGCACAGAAGACGGACCTTCCAGGGGCCCAAAACAGGAGCAGGGGCACATTAATAATAGTTTAAACAATTTGTAACTAAAATTATTTAATTTTTAACTAATTTAGTTTACTATTTTAACTATCAATGATCTCACCAATTAAAATAAAATATCCATTATTGATCAGTGCATTCCAAGCAGAAAAAGCCCAATAATGAATACAATGTCGCTGTAAAACATTTTTCTAAATTTCCAAAGGAACACCATACATTTTAGCTATCGATTTTTATTCTTGTTCTTCCCCCTCTCTCTCCCAGTCAAAGCAATGACTAATATACTTCTGTCTTTATGGATTTTCCGTTCTGCAAAGTTTTTGTATGCCTCAAACAATAAAGAGTGCTTCTATCAAAGTTTATCTCTTTATCAAAATCATTTAAATTTTATGTACTTTGTACCAATTTGTATTGTTGGGATAAAACTTGCAGAAAGCAGCATGTACTGATTAGGACAGGGAAAAACTAACACCCTCAAAATTGGTGATGAGATTGTGAAATTTTATTACAGGTCTACAAAGAGGTTAATACATTCTGAGATTACCAAAATAAAGCTATCATATAATTTCTCTCATTGGGTAATTAAGTAAAGTTTTGCAACTGCACTTTTACATAAAAAAAAATCTATCTGTCATTCCTATTAAAATCTCGAGCTGTAACCACAATTTAGAAACTACTAAAAATCTATTAATGCATAAAGGCGGATTATAAACTTATGGGATATTTTTACACGTAAAAGAGATGGCATTAATATCCTTGTTACTGAATGAATAAACATTGAAGAATATGGTAACAGACACAAAAACCCTACTGTGTGACTGGGGGCTTACAGTACCTACATGATATATATCCATTCATATAGAAAATAGAGCTATATCTTCCATGGAACATGGGGGTGGGATAGGCATTAGATAACTAATAACTGGAAATAGGCACAGATTTCCCTATGATGATGAATGCACAGGATGAGTGCTGCTGTGGTAGAGATACACCATCATTGCCAGGCTCAGCAGCTCCCATGACCCAGCACCAGGTCTCAGGAATGCATAACAGTCACCCTGGCTCAGCCTCTTATACCACCCAGACACACATGCAAATCACACTGGGCACTGGCAGGAGAAATCCCCATCGCAGGCTGGGTCAGTGTGGAGGTCTCCATCCCACAGGCACCATGAAGATGCTGTGGACCCTTCTGTGCCTGATGGCAGCTCCTCTGGGTGCCTAGGGTCTCTAGTTGTTTACAGGGGCCTTGGAGTGGGATGGGAAAGATTCACCATGACTCTTTTTTCCCTCATCTGACACTTTGGGAGTAGGACCTAGCCTGGTGAAGACATCGCAGACCCTGTCCCTCACCTGCACAGTCACAGGGGATTCCATAACTAGCAATATCTTGAATTGGATCTGGTAAACTCCTGGGAAAGCTCTACAGTGGATGGGGTCCTGGGCAGGGAGCACAAACTACAGCCCAGCTTCCCAAGTCCGCGTCTCCATCACTGCCGACACAGCCAATAACCAGTTTTCCACAGAGCTGAACTCCCTGACCACTGAGGACATAGCCACGTACTGTTGTACAAGACAGTGAGAGGACATCTGTGTGAGTGCAGACATAAACCTCCCTGCAGGTTGCTCAGGACAGCAGGGGGCATCATGCCCACCAAGTTTAGAGTTCAACCCCAGGGACCAAGGCAGAGAGAGGCTGTGGATCACATTTCAGAGACTGGGGTTACAGCCACTACCCATCATCAAGCCATTTCTGCTCTGTCATCCACATTCTCCCAAATCTGTAAGTTAGTCATTAGCAAGGAGCACAACCAATTTTCTGCTGTTCTTGATCCCTAGAACTGCCCTCTTTGATTGGGCTTGAAAACAAATTCCCCTTTGCCTTCTTTCCAAATCAGCTCTGCTTCATCCAAACAAATCAGTGCTCTGTGTCTGCCCTTGATATCTAATCTGGGCCCCATGTTTGCACATCTGCAGATTTCCCTCTGCCAGTAACCTTCTTGCTCTGCCTTGTTCTCTTCCTGCCCGTTTGCACTACAGTCACCCTCGCTCCCCTGTCCTCATTCTCCTTCTTCAGTTTCTCTCCAGTATGGTAACCACCCTATTTCCACCATGTCAAGGCTAACAACTGGGATGATGGGATGATGTGAGGGGAGAGCAGGATCTACTGGAGTCACACTAGTTTACTCTGCAGAAGCTCAAAGACACCAGCATGGAGTAATAGGAGCAGCAAGTCAGGTTCCAGTGACCAGTTGAGGCCAGCACCATGCTTGATAGAGACTGTTATTGTTATTGTTTTCTTTTGTGTTGTGTATGTGGCTTTTTATGCACTAATATAGTGTTGTATCTGAAAAAAATCATGCCTGATGTTGAGAAAAACATGAGACAACTCTACCTTGTAGCCTGCTTGGTGACTCTACCCCACACGAGTTCCTCAGAGAAAGAAATAGGGCCATGTACTCTTTTGTCTTGTGATGTACCTTTTTTCTCCCTGTCCCCAACTGTCCTTTCACAAGTGCAGCTACAGGATTTGGGCAAGGCCCAGAGATGCCTCACAGATCTGCTGTCTTACTTGTTTCATATCTGCATTCTCCAACACCTGGGTTTTCTCTGGGCCTGGACCCTGCACCCCAGAAAATGGGCTGCAATACCTGGGGAGGCTCAGCTTGAGCAGTAAGTCACAACTCACCCCTTCCACGACACAGGACTGCTTCTCCAGTGACATTGCAGTGACATGCCCAAGACCCTGTCCTGCTGACAGCTAAAATTCTTCCCACCAATGATACAGCCATGTGTTTCTGTGTGAGGCACAGGAAGAGACACCAGTGCAGCCCAAGTACAAATTCTCTCAGGGTCACTCTGGACCAGAAGCAGGTGCCCAGGACTAGCAGGGGGCTCTTGGCACCTGCAGGAGGCTCTCTGGGACATACAGCAAAGACCTTGGCCAAAGAAACAGCCAGTCAGGAGGAACACATCTGTTTTATAATCTGGTCAGGAGAACATTAACCTGAAGAATTCATTGCCCTCTTCATTTTTCTTCTTTCCTTTAATATCTCCCAGTGGAGGAAGTCAATTAACACCTCTCCTAACTGAATACTCTGAAGGAGTCCTTCCTACAACCTCGGGCCTCTGTTAATGGAAACACTGCAATGTTGAGGTGAAAAGTGGCCCAGCCTTGGACAGTACCAGAGACGGACTAGCAACCCTGCAACAGCAGTGACCTCTGGTTGAGTGAAGCACACACAGGCTGCTCTCTGCCTGCCTCTGCTGAAGAAAACGCACAGGGCTTTAACCTGGAGAAGCTCAGTGCAACTGTTCTACATCTGGAGTTTTAGATCAACTTACACTGTGTGGTTAAACTTTTCTAACATAATATTTTCCAATAGTTTAAGCTACAGAAGTGTAAAAGAGGTTTGTCCTCATTCTTCAAACCAATAGGAAACTTGGGAAGAAACAGAAGAGTCTTTACACATTTGAAAACAGCCTTCCAGATATTGTTGCCATAAGAGACTAACACTTATCTCAAGGGAGTGAGGTCTCACTCTGTGGAACTGCATGGGTGGTGACCTGGGGAGGCTATCAAGTGAGCATGGCGCCACTCCTCTAAATTGGGATCTTGCACACCTTCTCACTTTTCACCTCGTGCTGACACACACATGGCCCTCACAAAATGCACCTGTCCTGTCTTGAGCCTCTGTACTTCCATGTCCCAGAGAAACACAGACCCACATTCATCCTTATGAGAGGACAGGTTCATACCCATGTGTGCCATGGATACGTCCCTGGATAAGGCTGTGCTTGCTCTCACATTATCTTAAACGTTGCGGGGATCTCAATGTTCGCAGCCCTGTAAGTCACCGGAAATCCCTCAGCTACTTCCTTCCCCTTCATTCTGGTTGGACGTGAGATTTTAGCTGTCTTTCAGGGCTTCCCTACCCAGTGTCACCACTTCAGTGGGCCAACCTACACCTGTGACTCCTCTAGTCTGTGCCACAGTAGCTCCTTCCTGTGAGTCCCACTAGGGGCTGATTTAGGTGTGAGGAACTTGCCTGCAGACACACTGCCATGGCCATTTCTCATGTGCTTTTTCTCGAGTCACAGTGTCACCATGACAGCACAAGCGACCTACTCTTGCAAACACAGTCTGTCCTTCTGCACACTCTGCTCCTCTTCCTGCTGACTGAAGCAGTCTGTTTATAGCCACCCCATGCCTTTCACATGAACGCATCTTGAGTGACTGGAGGGAAGGGCCTGTTGTATTGGACTTTGGAGTTTATTGAATGAATGATGGACCAAATAGATGAAAAATTCCAGTCAATTACTATGGGCATTTAGACTGTGGTTGATGTAAGATTATCTTTGCGGGAGCTCTCAAAGGATTATTCTCTGCCCACTCCAGATTTATACCTCATGGCACTTCTACCTTTCCCCCATCATGGTTCTAACATGCTGAAGGAAATAGCTATGGAGAAAAGTGACTTGTAACCTTAAAGGTCCCTGGGCTTCAGAAGCTGTCTGCATTCTGTGACCTTATATCAGGAAGTCAAATGCATAGGCAAATGAAGGCAGCACTTCTGTTTAAATATCAGCTACTGCAAGGGACCACAGAGCCTGTTGAATTCTGGCTGAAATCTGGAGCCCAGAATGATCAGCAGTGCCCTAGCCATGACTGTCTCCTTGCTTGTCTTCCTGTCGGCACTGGGTCTCCCACAGGGTCAGTATGCGGGAAATATGGTGTCCTGGGCAGAATTCACAGGCCATGGGTGTTAACTTTACCACTTCCTCTTGTTCCCAGGTGTCCTGTCCCAGGTGCAGCTGCAGGAGGTGGGCCCAGGATTGGTGAAACCCTCTCAGACACTCTCCCTCACCTGTACTATCTCTGGGGACACTGTCTCTAGCACCAGTGCTACTTGGAATTGGATCAGGCAGCCCCTGGGGAGAGGTCTCGAGTGGCTCGGAAGGACATACTACAGGTCCAAGTGGTATAACGAGTATGCACCATCACTTCAAGGTCGGTTGACCATTTCCCCTGACACATCCAAGAATGAATTCTCCCTGCAGCTGAGCTCTGTGGGCACAGAGGACACAGCTGTGTATTACTGTGCAAGAGACACAGTGAATGAACCTCAAAGGAAGCCCAGACACAAACTTCCTTGCAGAGTCACTCGGGACCAGCAGGGTTTGCCCAGGACTTACCAGGGCCACCCTGGACTGACAAGATTTTGCAGCAAAAGTTGAGGGGGAATGTGTGGGTGCATATAATACTTGGGAATTCTCAATACTTGCACATGGCCCAGACCGATAAAGCTGCAGTGTGTAACTTCCTGCTGTGCCTTGCAAGATTGACATTTTTGCACAAACATTGACAAACAGACCTGCATCACTCAGGTGTCATTTCAGTTGAGGAGAATGTGATCAGAATTTAGCAGGGATGTAAATCTTAAAATTCCCTAGAGGAAATAGGTTAGAATCTGATAATCAGGTGTTTGTAACAACTTTGTCTAACAAAAGTACAAAGATTTTGATAATTGCCTCTCTTATTTAGTTTATTATATTTATTTAAAAAGTAGAATTTATTAATTTTCTTCAGTTATTTTGCATGACAGAAGGATAGCTTTCCTTTTTTTTCCCCTTTCACAACAATTGATGTATACTTAATGATTCTATCCAGATGTCCTCATCATCATACCTTGTGTTTAAGTCAGTTTTTACTTCATTGATGCTGCGTAAGGAACGATTTGCACCCTGAATTATCACGCCAGCCTGCAACCACATCCTCTGTGCCATAACGCAGGCTCTGCTGCTCTTACTGGACTGACTGTGGAGGAGATTCAGGCTGCAGGTGAGTGATGTGCCTGCTCCCGGGATTCTCACTCTGGATCCAGCATCTCCCGGGCCTCTTCCCTCATGGTGGAGATCAGAGTGTGAGCTGGAGAATGGAACCCTTTCCTGACAGATTCATTCCCTATTTCTCACATACTTGGGTCAAAAGAACAAACTCAGTGAAATCGTGGAAGAAAACATCCACATAATAGGAAGTTTTCCAGACTCCTGTGACATCTTTTCCCTGTCTGCATTGTCATTTTGTGGTGGGTTGCAACACTACAGCCATGAACTTTAGCTATGGATGAAAAAGAAAAGGAAGGCGTGGCCTTGGACGGGACAATGCTATGCTGAGCTGTGCTGTCGTTGCTCCTTCACTGGAATGTGGAGCCATGATCGAGATGACCTCGTTCTTCACAGAGCTGTTCAGAGAGCCACAGTAGGGAAGGACCCAATGTTCATCGTGATATATGGCAGGATGAATTGACGATGGCACCTATACACGATGGAGTCCTATTCATCCACAAAAGCAGGAATGCTGTCATTTGTGACAATATATATTCAAATTCAGGACATGAAACAGTGCAAAATTTGAGAACAGAAAGGTAAATACTACAAAATGCCACCTTCTATGGGAAATCTAATGGTTTGGACTTATGGTGAGAATTGGAAGCAAAATTCAGAGACAAAATATCTAGAAAACTTGGAGTTTTGATAGAAATGAAATATGTGTCAACATAGGTCCAAAATTGAAGTAGCTGAAGAGATTAGCAGCATTTTAAAAATCAATTATTTTGAACTAGGACAAGAAGGAAGAGGCCCTGAGGCCATCCCGGGCATCAGCAAGATCCCACTCTTTGTAGGACCCAGCGCCCATATGTGTAAACGTGCCATTTGAGAGGAGAGCCCACTGGTCTCGAGACTGGAGAGAGCTACTGAGGAATCAGTTCCAGGGAGACTCAGCTGCGGCAGACTGATTAATGGGAAACTTGGAAACCCGCCGAACTGAAGCAGCGTGGTCCGGGCGTGGAGGATCCAGTGAAGATTGCTACCCATAGCCATGAAAAGAGAACTGGGGAGAAAGATCTTGGCCTGTTGATTTTCTCGGAGAAGCTTGCTGAGGATGGTTTTCCTGATGTGAACTAGCCTGCTCTCTCATCGGAGGAGCTCGGGATCTCACTGTTGCTGAGAATAGCTGCTGCTTTCATCAGGGGAGCTTTGATCTTTGTTGTGGGGAGAAAGGAACCCTTCTTCATTGTTTTTCCTTTTCTCATATACATTATTTCTCTTCTTACCTTTTTCCTACCCTTTCCTCTTGCCCTTCCCCTTTCGAACTTTTCTTCCGCTTTCACATTATCTGCGATACATTCTGCTGACCTTAGCACATGCGAGGAATGCATTTCATGTGGGGAATTAACACATGAACACAGCACATTTTAATTCTTTTTTGTTGACCCCAGTCTCTTGATCCTATTCCCAATTCAGAAACATTTGTCAACTCACGATCATGTATTTAATAGGCTATGTATTATGAGTTTTTCACATTAAAGTTTTGTTTTAAGACTTCTTTGCAGTACATAATATTTACTTCCACTTTAGAAAGTAGGTGCTTGTGCTTCTCGCATCTTGATTCATGTTATTCTCTTTACCCTCCCTTAACTTCCTCCCTATTTGGTTTCTGATGGTAACACCCTCACACACACTTCTGTATATCTCTGTATGTATAGAATGGATCAGAATGACGCCAAGATTCTTTTTTTTTTTTTGGTACAAGGGATCAAACTCCCCGGCCCCCAAGATTCTACTTTAATAATGAGGAGAAGGAATAAAAAAAATCAATAACAGGAAATACTATAAAACCAGGGGGAAAATTCTGTAAACACATGGCTGTGTCCAGGAAGAGATCAACATAACTGCCTGGCCTTTACCTCTCTTTATTAACAAAAATGAAATTACACACTCTAAATTAAAAACGGAACATGTGTTCCATGTCTCCACCAAAAACTCTTGGTAAATAATTCAAAAATGGAAAAGTGAATAAACGCACTGGACTCAAACAGACATGTGAAGGAACTGAAAATTCACAATGATTTAGATGGTACATATCTTTTACAGCTAGTGCTATAAAGGAATACTAAGTAATTTGGGTTACTGCTCTCATTGTCCCCCACTTGTCTGGAGGGCTGCATTGGATGTGGTTCTCCAGAGCAGCAGAGATAAACCAGACACGTAGTGACAGCACACAGAAAGAGACATTTCCTCGGGAACTGGCTCACAGGACCATGGAGGCTGGAAAGACCCAGCTCTGCCATGTGGGCTGCATGTGGAGAACAGGGAGCTGGAGGTGCAGGCACAGTTGCAGGCTGTCTATTGGGGAATCCCTGCAGATTGGTGACACCGGTGGTTTGGGCTGTGCAGGCTCCCCTGGTTAATGAACCTCACACACACGATGGAGGGGAACCAGCTCTTCTCAGAATTCATTCACTCATGTGTTGGTCAATTCCTAAAAACTCCACAAGGAGACACATGATCTTCACAGAGGACCAACAAGCTGACCTACAAACTCCATTAACAAAGCCCATCCTGTAACTTTTGAGCACAGCCCTACAATCTGGTACGACACAATGGTGAAATCTTAGTCTGGACACAGTCATTTCACCAACATCTCATGCTCCCTCAATAGAGAGTAGAGTTATTTTTTAATTGTATGTATACAAAAAATAAAAGAGGATGAGATTTTGAATTAAAGAAACCTACATTTTCTTCAGAGTTTTACACTATGTCATGCACGTAGTAACAAGAAATGGAGCGAAGATGTCATAGGACCTGCACTGGCCATGAAGTGTGAAGGGAACACACAATGTCACTGTCATGGAGGACACGCTGATAGGACAGGGATATAAAATAAACATGCTGAAGCCTCAAAGTTAAACTTGAAAGGATAATGCCACCTGAAACCATGGGCTACAACACGGATACACCTGTACATCCGGGCTCTGGTGTGGAGATTTCAAGGACATACAAGGAAAAAGATATGTCAGGTTAGGTTTTCGTGATCATAGAGATCAGGTGATACTCACAGAACCTCTGCCCATGGACTTTGAATGTTTTATACTCTATTTTTAAAACATAGTACATTTATCATTTCATTTATGATTGGCTACCTAAGTGTTCTAAACTGTTGCTTCTCAGGTTGTATTCTGTCTTTCACATGAGGCTTTCATATGACCAGTATTTTGAATGTTTTCCATTGCTAGAGTATCTAACGATCTCTGATCTCACATGCTTTACTTTTGTTTTTCTTGTTATTTTTTGAGACAGAGTCTCACTCTGTGATTTAGGATGGCCTTGGATTGACTATGTAGCCCTGGCATAGAAATTCTGCTGCCTCACAGTCTTAACTTCTGGGATTAGAGATTTGCACCTCCACGCACATCTGAATCTCTCATTTTAAAAAGGCAGTGGATGTAAAAATTTGTTGACAAGTTTGGAATCTTCCTTGAATGTTTTTATCAGAAATAGATGAACATTTCACTTACATTATTGATAGTATTGGCCTTCTTCTATCTTGGTTTTTGAAAGAAGGACCGGGATGTTCCAACACAGAATGTGGTCCCATTTGTGGTGTTCTCTGGGGCCATCTGAAGGTCAGGGCCAGGAGGAGCTGCACTGGGTGGGCAGAGCAGTGCCCGTTTCATCCCAGCACATTCAGCATCTCTGAGAGGCAGGTGGGGATAAAGCCAGATACCAAGTCTCATATGCCCTTGCTCCTTGAGTATTTCCCTACATCTTCCTCCTGTCTCCCTCTTGATTGCTGTAAGGTAAGCAGCTGAGGTGATTTTCCAAATAGTGTATTCAGGCTGCACATTTAGAAACTTGAGTTATTATGAAGCCATGAGTCTTCAGGGACAGGGTTCTAAGAGGAAAGGTCAGAATGTCTGTAGTCCATGAGAGATCCCAGCATTTTCAGATAGTAGTAGACATTTCTGATTACAAAATGCCAAGAATGGGCTTAGACAGAGACACATGAACTCCAAGAAAATTCCCCACATAAATTAACTGTGAAAATGTAGGGAATAAGATCTAGAAGTTGTCGATGAAGACTACCCTCAAGGATGAAGCAATACATTTTTAAAAGGCAGTCATGGAGATATGGACAGGCATGGCACCAAGACAGAAAGCATAGTTAGAATCTTAAATATTTTTCTCTATCTCCAGCAACAGCCCAGCAAATACACAATTCTCTGCCTGACTACAAACTCTCCCCTGGAAAGGCACACTTTAGTAAATACATTCAGCACATCAGAACCCTTTCCGGACATGGACACTTTCATGTTAAAGTTGCCAATGAAAACTGTGCTCAAAATGAACAAAATCTTTGCTCCAACTCAATTTCTCTGTGTGTCGAAGTATCA